ACCTGCTTCCCATGAGGCTCCATGGTACTAGAGGGCGTCCTTGCCATGACGTTCGTTTCCGCGCGCTTCCGCTGTCCGGATATTTAGCTGTCGAATCTACTTCGCGCGCTTCCGCTGTCCCGAAATCGACGCGCGCTCGGAGGCTCTATTAGGTGCGGCTTCGACGCACTTATAAATGTACTTCGGATAAGTGCGTCGTACTTATTGTATACAAAATTGAGTATAATGTGAATTATGTAACAGCACTTAACAGGGACTACCAAATCGCACTTGACAGGACACGTTCCGGGCGATGCGATTGGCTGAGACCAATGAAACGCAGTTTTATTGGTCAGCAAATCTGGAATTATAGCCAATGGGTTGGCCGGATTGAGACACGACACGCCGAATTAATCCCCTGGGATGCTGGTACACCACGTAAACGTTCCTACCAGGATAAATGTACGATATGTATCAAGTTGATACTATCAGAAAATGTACGTGGTGCGACATCAACCACTGGCCACAACACACTTGATATTCACAGACAGTATATTACTCATACAAGGGCCATTTGAAGCAGCGGCAGGTTGGTCACGACGCAGGGAAAGAGGAGACCGGAGCCCCACGCGACGCCTTTGGTCGTCGTCCAGCTTGGCACGTCGGTGCCATTCAAAAGGTACTGCACCGTGCTCGACGGCTTGTGAAAGACGACCGTGAGCACGTCGCCGGCTTCAAAAGCTTCGCCTTGAAACTCCGTGCCCCAACCACTTGGCTCGGTCGTGCTGCTAAAGCCAATGCGCAGCGAAAACGGCGGCTTACTGCTGCTTGCAATCGAGCTGCGTCGGAGGCCGCGGTTGGCATCCACGGGCGGGCGCCGCGAGCAGAGCGTCGAGCGCTCAATGAGTTGCACCGAGTACCGAACCGAGGGATACTCGCCGCGCACGTGCACGGGCTGCCACGAGGTCGAGGCAAGGTCAAACCGACGGCGCTCGAGGCTGAGGTCCACGGCCGACGCAGGCACCGGCAGCTGCCAGAGAGCAATGTCAACGCCAAAGTAGTCGAGCATGCCGAGGACGCGGTAGGCCATCGCATGCGACATGGCGTCAAATGCCATCTCGTCGCCGCGCAGATGGACCATGATGTGCTCAAAAACCGCCGGGTCCGCATCAATAAAGTACGCACCTAGGACGCGCCGTTCAGCATCAAGATACAAGAGACCAAGGGCGGTACCGTCGGCACGGGGAGCCCAGAGGTCGCTTGCGAGCATCGCTGTAAAGTACGTTTCGGGCTGTCGGAGCAGGTTGGCCTTGGCCGTCTCAAAGTACCGCCCGCCGACGTTGAGCTTGATCGTCGTCTCGGCAAATTGGAGCTTGGCGGCGACGCGCTGGTCCCACGCATCGCGCTTGGCTTCGTGATGCGTAAGCTGGTGGAGCTGCGCCTGGATGTCGGTCGCCGTCTTGGAGAGCGCTGTCAAGAGAGAGGCAAAGGCGGCCTTGTCGGTCGTGTGGCTCGAGCGCAGCGCCTGGAGCCGCTGGCTGAGCTCGCGCACCTCTGCGTCGTGGGCCTCCTGCATGGACGCGCCGATCGAGGCTTGCAGCGCTGTCATCTTATCCAGCGACTGGGCAAACTCGCGGCGAAGGGTGCTCGACGTGTCGCCAGTCGCAGCCATGCTGGCGTCGCTGCGCCGAGGCGAGCGGCGGGATGGGCTGCGGCGCAGGTCGGCGAGGTGCTTGGGCGGCAGCTCGTGCTGCGCGTTGTTGTCAACGGCCACCGAGCGCTGCGGTGTGGTCTCGAGCATGCTGCTGCGGCAATCGACCTCGTGCCTGCGGTTACTTTTCGAAAATGACCTGGCTCGATACACATATCTTTTGTATCCGGAGACCTCGTTACCGGATAGCGATGCGATGACTAGTCACACGCAACGTTTCCGACGGCTTGATACCGCCCAGTGTCCACACGACAGTACGTGCCTCAAGAACATCGCCTCGGCTATATAAAGACAGTACAATGCTGTGTATTCTATAGCCTATTGGGATACCACGGTTATGCGGACATAAGGCATAGAATCTCTTGGAAAATATGGACAGCGCCGAGCCACCTTGCGCCGCTGCATACTCGTTTCAAGTGGTGCGGTGCAAAGTTGCGTTTTATTAGCTCTCGTGGGACGGAGCGATGGGAAAGGACTGTCAAAGCAACCGACGCGAGTTCATGGACAATATTGTACATATTGAAATAGGTAAATGTGCAGTATCCTCTCTAACAGCACAAGGGACATGGGCGTGGTATCGGTAACACGCTGGCTGGTGCAAGGTCGGACGTAAGGACCAACATTCTCCAGGGTGACCATGCGAGCCGCGGGCGAGATTGATGATGGTTCAGCGGGGATACCAGCACGCGCTCGTCACGCAGTGGCTTCAAGACGACGCAATCGTGCCTGGAGATTGGAATGACGCCAGGCTTCCTCTCTCTTGCGTTGGCTAGCGCCAAAGATTTTCGAACCACAAACGCTGACACGATCGAACAGAGAGCGAATCGAGAGGACCTTGCGCGCGTTGTCATCTTTGGTGCTGCCACGTAGGGTCGGGAGACTGTAAAATACAGTCTTTGTGAGCTCTAGTTTCACGCCAGAAAAATGATCGCTTCTCGATGCATCGCAAAATACGAGGTCTCTATAAAAACAATCCAAACTAATACTACGCATATGCACAACTCTGCAATGTTGCAGGCAAGATGCGGCAAATTTGCGAGATGCATTGTTCCCGGGTGCACGGTGGCCGCTCATGGTGGCGGTGCCCGTCGGCAAATTCTGGCCTGATAGATCTTCTTTCAAACGTTGAACATTCTCGCCGTGGGTAGCGGTAGCATATTTGGGCCTCATTGTCGAGTCTTACGTTAGCACTTGCCAGCAGGAAACCCTCTACATGTATCTGGTGTACTGCAACACAATTGTCGTGCGGCTCGTCGCATTTCGCTGCTGCTTCTTGCACACCTCGCCCACAACGCCAAGCAAATACAAAAATGAACCAATCGCGCGTCACTATCAAAATAGTTTTGTCCAATCCCTGCCATGTGTGATTTATCAGGATTTAAGTTACGCATTTAAATACCTTGTCATTTGTATATCTTCGAAACATTTGAATAGTAGCCGTATTGTATTTTGACCAATCGTGTGCCAGTCGCTGTATTCGTGGTTTTTGAGCTTGAGCATGGCCTCGACGAGCGCGTTGGAGGCGCGGCAGGCCGACGCGTACTGGAAGCGCCAGCATGCGCAGTTCTCATCCTTCCGCGGCGCCGTCGCCTTACTAGTGAGCATGGCCCTTCTCTACCTCCTCGGCGCCCTCGGCGCGCGCTCCGTGCCCGTCGTCCTCTTCGTCTTGCTGCCAGGTAGATCGCCTCGCCCATCGCCTCGCCGTCGCCCATGACGATGCGCCTGTAGGCTACCTCATGGCGCTCATCTGCTTGGCCATCTCTGGCCGCAGCGCGTACTTTGCTCTCCAGCGCCTCTCGACACTTGTGCTGGAAGCGACGGTACGACGGGCGTCCACGCGGCGAGATTCTCATACAGGCGTCGTCTGCTGTAGCAATCGTCGCCGGCCGGGGCCAAGAAGGACACATCGTCACCGGCGGCCGATGGCCTGCGCCAACGCAAAGGTACGCATCGCCGCGTGCTCTAGCGACGCGAGCGCATGCAACGTGTAGGCTTTATGGCGCCCGAGGGCCTCGCGCTGCCGACGACCGAGACCAAGGCGCCTGGCATCGTCTATGGCACGCACATTGTAAAGACCTCGACGCCAGCGACCATCTCGACGAACGCCGAGCTTCGCGCGTTCCAAACGCCTGCGTCGAGCGCCGACCTGGTGGAAGAAGCGCACTTGAACTTTGGTTTTGGCATGGAAATGTCGTCGGCGATCAACCCCAACGGCCTCTACTCGCAGGCGTATGCAGTTATGAAGCCGACGATGAAGCCGCCGGTGCGTAAGGAGCTCGAGTCAGCGCTTTCGAGTGCACCGCACATGGAGAAGGCGCTTGAAGTGCTCGCCGAGTGCCGGCTCAAGCCGCGGCAGATGGGCGACATCTGCGACCGCCTCCGCCAAGTCCTCGCCCAGCACCTCCAGGACGTCCTCGTGAGCTTTCTCCAGAACGTCGACGAGCTCGTGGCGTGTGGCTTGCGCCGCGAGATGCTCTTGTGCGAGATTACCGTCCAGCCGCTCCTGAGCGTCGTCATGCCGGGCGCGACCGAGCCGACAACATTCCACCAGATTGCGCTCCACGACCTCCTCAACGCCTGTCGCGCCGACCCGCTCTTCGTCTCCAAGACCCGGCCGAACGTCCACTTGTTGCGCGAATACGAAACGGTACACTATTGTCTTTTGGATGTGGTTCATGTCTCATACTATCTTGTTTTAAATAGTTTATGAAGTACTTTGACGTCAAGGAAGAGTACAGCAAGGCGTACTGCATCCAGCGGCTCCGGACGCTCGCAGAAGATGGATTTCTGGGCCAGTACCGTTGGGACAGCGGCGGTGCCTGGAAGGGTACCCCTTCAATCGTTTTTGATAAGCGAATATTGATGAAGGGCGTAGGCAAGGCGTGGACCAAGGAGGCCAACTTGCCGACAGACGCGGAGCTCATCATGAACCTCTTCTGCGCCATGCTGGATGATGTCTTGCCGGCGGTCTCGGACAATGACCGTCCGTTCCGTCGCGCACACTATGCACCCGTGCCGCCGACCAAGTCGGCGAGCATCCGCGGCATGTTTCTCATCTACTACAGCCAGCCGTCGCCGCCCAATTTCAAGGTCATTGCCAACGGCCAAGTGCGCGAGATCCTCCCGGTATGTCCTTTTATATCGTACCGTTGGGTATAGACTAACGTATTTATGGTGGAATAGGGTAAAACCAATGTGTTTCAGAGCATTGTGTTGTTTCTGCGTGCGATTCGGCAGTTCAAGTCGGGCCACCTCGGCAACATCAATTTGCACATTTTGCTCGAAGAAATCTTTGAATCGTAACTTGAATCTTAGTAGTTTGCACGACTTTGTAGCATGTTTCCGATTCCGGTCTCCACAAAACTACGATTTTGGATGGAAACAATAGTCTACTACTGGTACAATCGAATAGAAGTAAACGTCACGGGGCTCATGGGGTAAAAAATAAAATATATATCTGGATTGACCGACGGATGCGCAATTGCCTACTCGGCTTTGTCGTGCAGCACATCGACGATCTCTTGGGCCGATGGACGCTGCGACGGGTTGTACGCGATGCAGCGAGAAATGAGGTCACGGAGCCACGGCGCACACGTGGTACTGAGACTCGGCTGCAGCTTTCCGTCGCGCACGTCGCCTCGAAACGTGCAGTCGTCAATGTCCTGCGTCGCGTACGGCAGCTGCAGCGTCTCCAACTCGATCAAAATGATCCCAAACGAGTAAATGTCCGCCTTGTCCGTATGTGTCTGGCCTTTCCGGAGCATCTCGGGGGCCGTCCAGAACGGCATGCCACCATTACGCGTCGGTGACGATGGCGCAGTCGACGCCGTGAACGCAAGTCCGAGACCACTGACTTTGATGTAGTTGGTGGTCGAGAGAAGGATGTTGGAGCTCTTGAGGTCGCGGTGGCGCAGACCTTGGCGATGGAGATCGGCGAGGCCATTCGCCACGACCCACGCAACATCGAGCAGAGAGTAGTCGACCTCAAGCGAGAGATGCTCGCGCTTCTCGTCGAGGTACATGCGGAGGTTGCCGACGTCCATGACCTCAAAGACGAGCTTGGGCGCTGGCGTATCTTGGTCGGCGACCGCCAAAAGCCGCATGAGGTACGGTGACCCACAACTAAGCCAATCGGCCTCGTAAGAAGGATTCGTTACTAGAACCAGTGTACCGCTGAAGTGCTGCGATTTCGTCGCGCAGACCTGGAGCATGCGACGGGTAGATTGCCGTCTTGACGGCAACCGTCGTGTCCTTGAACGTCCCCTTGTAGACAATACAGGAGTTGCCATCGCCCAGCGCGACGCTACGGTCGACCTCAATCTCGAATCTCGTCAGCGGACACCTAAACATATGCTTCTTGCGATCTGTCCTCCAGTCAAGTGAGGTGGTGGTACATAATGCGTCGTCGGCATGGCGTAGTAGAGTTTTTGGGCCACGTGCACGTGGTGCTGCTTGATGGTGACAACAAGGGCGGTCTCCATCGTCTACGTAAACACATACTGTTGATACCTAGCTAGAGGCAATTGTAGTCTCTTGAAACCAAGTTGCGCATCTCAAAGTTGATAGCACGAGATTGAAGAAGCACGTCGACAATCGAGTCTTGCTCATGTTGGATCGCGATGTGCAAGAGACTGTCACCCGTCTAAAATAGTTGTATGAATACTAAACAGCAGAGAATAGTGTACTGCACACCTTGGCCTGAATGGTGTAGGGATCCGCATTCGCTCGAAGAAGCGACTGTCGTCTCTGGACGTCGCCCGAAACAACGCTCTGAATCAGCTCCTCGGTGCTGGTGTCGGAGCCATCAGCGTCAAAGGCAGCGTCCGAGACTTCGTCGGAAACGACACTCTGAACCAACTGCTCTGTGGTTGTGTCGGGCACATAAAATTCATCCAAGTCAAAGACTGCGTCGGAGGCCGTGTCCGGCGCGTCGTTGGTCTCGGAGGTGTCCATTCGTGCTCGGAAAAGAGCAAGGAGCTCTTCGTTCTCGAGCTCGATGGCCAGCATGAACGGCGTCTTGTGGTCCTACAACCATCATTTAGAGAAAGCAGCGCGATACAACAGTAAGCTGCAACGAACGTTGTTCTTGCAGTCCACGCTGGCGCCGGCGTCCAAAAGCACCTCGACCACGCTGGGATGCCCAGCGGCGACGGCCGCATGCAGCGGTGTCTGTTGTGTCTACACCGTGTTGTTGGATTTATAGTGGACAGTGAACGCTAGAAGGGACCTCTGTGGCCAGCGTCACGTCTGCGTTGGCGCGAAGAAGCTGTTGCACGACATAAGATGTCCGTGGGCGGCAGCCCCATACAGCGGCGTTGATCTCGTCTACGACAAGACGGATATAATCGTCAGATAGAAAGGTAGACACATGCAGGATTACGTTGTCGATAGCATCGACCTTGATGCGTGGTTGGTCGAGAAGACGTTGGACGATGGCGTCCGAGCCATGAGCAGCTGCCACGTGCAGGAGATAGCTCCCGTCCTAGATTCACAGCGATTTAAAGTCAAAAGTGTCGTCGTGACTGCTGCTAAAATACGTTGATGTGAGCGTTGGCCTTGACCAAGAGAAATGAAACCCCGATGCCGGCAGTGTCGGGCGCGGCAGGTGGCTACTCGACGCACTCAGGTCAGTGAGTGAGGTGATGCATCTAGGGAGAGTGGCGTGCCTCGTATCGGATGCTGGGATCGACCCCACAACGGAGTAGTCCGTCAACGGCTTCTGTGTTTTCCGTCAAAACAGCGTCCGCAATGGACATCTAGTTGTCCATGAATGATACTTCAAGACACACGAGGGGCACGATGTGACACCTTCCAGGGTTGACAGCTTCATAGAGCACGGCCATAACTTCTTTGTACCCATTAATCCGAGCAATCTCGTAGGGTGTCTCGTTGTCCTACGTGAGACTCGAAAAAGCTGAATTCCAAGTGGATTTGAACACGAGTATACATGGTTGGGAATGTTTGGGTTGGCGTCGGCGGCCAGCAAACGCTTCACAAGTTCAAGATGCCCTTTCTTGGCTGCTAAAAAGATTGCCGTCTCTCCACTCTAAGTGACGCTCTTTATAGCGTTTTACCATGGAATGCGATACATCACCTTGGATTGTGCATGCACTTTGGCGTTCGCAGCCAGCAGCATTGAGACGACACGGTCGTAACCATCGTGTGCAGCAATGAGCAAGGGCGTCCAATCATCCTACAACAATAGCCATGATTCATGACAATTGGTTCCACTCTACCACTTCGAATCATCATGACTCATGACGATTCGAAGTGGCAGTATGGAAATCAATTGGTTTACTTTGTCGCAGCAGTCAACCGTGGTGTTAGCAGCCAGCAGCTTTGCGACGACGCTGTCGTGACCTTTTGTGCAGCCAAGTGCAAGGGGTCTCCTCATCCTACTTGTATGTATATGTATTGTATAACCGTAAAGCCAAGGTACTAGTGTACCTTGGATTGCGCGTGTACGTTGGCCTTTGCAGCCAAAAGCAGTGCGACAACACCCGCATGATTATTCACTGTCGCCCAATGCAGCGACATTTGTTTCCACGTGGACTAGACACAAACTATCTGCTCTGTGGTGAAGTAGTATTCCTACGTTGTCGACGGCGTCAAGGACAATTCGAGGATGCGCTAACAGCAGTGCGACGAGCTCTGTCGAGCCCACGATTGAAGCAATGTGCAGTGGCGTGAATCCGTCCTAAGAGGATGCGTAGGTTATAATGTTTTATTCCAAGAAGGAGCTGTGTACCGTCAGTACATCCGCATCACTTGTCGGATCGGCCCACGTCTTCGGCAACGTCACTTGCCACTCGGTCGACTGGACATTACAGAAGTAACGATTTAGTGGTGTCGTTCGTGTACAGTGCCATGACGAGTTGTACGAGATTGTCCATAGCCTTGTCCAGGACAGCAACGATGGAAGCACGACCGTTCTTCTCGGCAATGTCCCGAGGCTTACACATCATGATCCAGATAAGATACGGCTCGGACACTATCGTTGTTGTTGAAATGAGTGTTCTCGTTATTTTACGGATTAAGGGTCCTATTTCTAGGGTCGTCCTACCTCCAACCTAATATCCGGTAGGCACGAGTTACCGGCATATGCCGTTTTCATCTTGCTTCTTCCATTGTGGCACTTGCCGAGCGTGGCCTTATTATGGTGACCGTCTTCAGTGGACACTATCGTTGTACGTCGTTGGATTGAAAGGGATTGGCGCCAGCAGCCAACAGCGCCTCCGCGGCAGCTGCGTGTCTGTTGGCAGCGGCTTCGTTGAGCGGAGTTGTCTACAGTGAGAACGATGTGTTGCTAGGTAGAAAATATCAAGACGCACGCCGTCATGTCGTTGGTTGACGTCGCCCCCGCTTGGAGAAGGCATTGACCTTCGTCGAGATGTTCACCTTGGGCGGCAACGCAGTGGGATGTGTACCACACGGCGACTTTGGCCGAGCCACCCTCTATCGATGTACCGTTTCATCGCGCGTTTTCCTTTCGTCCCTTGTTGACCACGTCGGGCGTTTGCTTATTATGGTGCCCGTCTACAGTGACATTCGTGTCCGGATGGGGGGATGCCCGGATAGTAAGCATCGGCGTGTCGGGAATCGAACCGGCGACCTCGGGAGGCGGAAGCAGGAATCATACCGCTCGGTTAAAAGCAGCTTCCGTGTGGGTTGAGCTGGTACCACTAAACGTCCAGGAGAAACACGTTTATGTTTGAACCTCGGCGGCAACCACCAATGCACTTAAGACAGTATCGCGTCACAACAACTCATGTGCAATGTGAAAATCAAGTACCAAATGCGTGTAGTGGTTGTTTTGGAGTACCCGGTCATGGTCCTCCTGCACGCTTTGGCTTCCATGCAATTTTTATCCGTAAACGCAGTCTCCCCCCGGCGCACGTCGAGGCGTAAGACAGACATCTTGGTAGCACGAATGCGCCTCCAAGACGTACAGTACACGGCCTTCTGGCAGAGGCTCGCCGCGAATCAAGTGACCCTGATGTCCTCCTCAAGTCCTTGGACATCGTCTCTTTCGCCGCGACGTGGTGGACGACGCGGTGAAAGCAACCTAGGCCGTCGTTGCTTCTCTTGCAGTCGGCGCGACCAAAGGCAGTGGCGTCTTGTTGGACACTTGCAGCGCCAAGCCCGCGATGAACTGGACGACAGATGGGTGGCACTCGTCGTCCACCTTGACCGTCCGCGGCACGGACCAGTAGAGCGCAGAGACGCCACAAGCTGCGCTCCGCGACACGTCTCCTTGCATCTTGCGTAGCATTCTCGACATCGTCGACAATTCCAGCAAAACGTACTGGTCTTTATGGCCTTGGATACTTTTGGCGAGCTTGATGGGGCCATCACGATGGATTGTCAAGCTTCGTTTGCACTCGTACACCGTCGCTCTCGTCCGATCTTCATTTTTGGCAACATCTACCACTTCAACCGCGTCGAGCACCACGACATCGAGTCCAAAGACGCTCGGGTCGCATCGACATACCGGCACTTTTGACGGCCTCGCCTTCCGAGTTATTGATGATGCCGATGCCGTCAGCACCTGGAGCGCTGCACTTGAACAGTGTATCACCGTTTAGCACTGCGATGTCAAGTTCAAAGTGGCGCGCGATCGTTCCAATGCTCCGAGTTGCTTGATGTGGTGCCGCGTCTGGCGTCTCGGGGCTCGAATTCGGTGGGGGTTGAAAAATGGTTTTGATCGCATCTGGCCTCGCGGCCGAATGCGTGGGCTGGTGTTGCCCAGATATCGTGCTATGTGGTGTTTCAATCCGAGCTCATGTCGTATAATGTATACCGCGTGGCTGGCCTGACAGACGCGCGCAATGCGGGGTTGGTGTCGTCTCCTTTTGCTGGTCGAGGCTGGACAGGCACCACCGGCTTGGGTAGTGGCGGCATAGCGCGCAAAGGTGCGATGAGACGCTCGAAGGTGTATTCTACAGCGTGCGTGTTGCTCCACTTGCCACCGAACGGACGCGGACGTACTTCTGGAGGTCGCAGGCCGTATGGACCCTGCACAACTACGAAGATGTCGCGAGACGACTTGCGAGCCGATTTGCGAGCCGCTTCGTCCGCCGCCTGCAAAGGCGACGTGGAAAATATCCGATTGCGCAAGGGCTCGTACCGCAATGCTGGTCCAGATGGCTCGGACGTCGGACCCTTTGCACCAGATTTTGGGAAGAATCTGCTACACTGTACAACGTTTCAGCGTTGCGTTCTTCGTCGACGTCGACTGCGTTCTGCACAGCGACAAAGAGCGGTGTTGGGCCATCCTACCATGCATGATACTGCGCGGGTATCGATGGTATTGCATACGCAGCGCGCGCTGGCAGTCGAGTCGGCGCGCAGCGACTCGCGCCCCTCATGCGTCAGCGACAAGAAGGCGGTCGGCGGTATGCTCGCCTACGCCAATCGTCCTTGTACGTACGCCGCCCTGCAAGAGGCATTTTCTACCAGTGGCGTCTCGTCGATATCAGCGTTGGCACGCACGAGAAGCTGCGCGATTGCGGTGTGGCAAAGCATGGCAGCCAGAAAGAGCGGCGTCGCATTTTGCTGCATGAGTTTGTGAGTTGGCTACGACTATGATGGAGCCGTACCCAAGACTGCCAGTGCGGGCTCACGCCAGCACGAAGGAGGTAAGCGACGTCCGCCACGCGGTTGTCGAGCGTTGTTGAGAGCAGCTGTTGCCCGCGGGCCACATCGTCGGCGCCGACTGCCATTGTTGTTGCTAGCCTCAAAATGCAAGATACCATACCACATTCTTTTTTGAATGTCAGAAAACTGTGGCCAGCATACGGTGTGCATACATCACCGAAAGTCAGACTGTCAAGATGCAGATGGCACTTAGTCGACCACCTTTTGTCCAGTCGGTGGATTTCTGCTTCACATGCAAGAGGTGCGGGGTTCGAGCCCCGTAGGTGCTGGCCCTTTCTTCTCTTTCCCATTGACGTTGGCATCGGTACCATCAAAGCGCGTCACCACGATATGAGCAGCTGACTTACGAAGTGTCTGCACTTCAACTGTAAGCATCCCTCGAAGGGCGCGTGCGATACTTCAGTTGAAATGCTCTTCATGTGGCGGGGCGCATTCGATGAGTTCGCCGGGGCAACCGCGGAGTGGTAGCTTCGACCTGTGGCACAAGCGGCACACGACGATGGTGTAAGCGACCTCCTCGAGCTTACCAAAATGCTTCTAAACCCACGACGACTTGCCGGTAATTGCAGTAAGCGTCGGCGGTCGTAGTGATGCTGGTGTTGGACGATATGGTGACGGTTCCTCCGCTGCTTTGGTATTTCCTTCCTCTCCCCCAGCCATGCATTGCTACGACAATTGGAAAAATCAGGCACCCGCTGAGTGAATCGGCACCCACTCAGAGTGAGTGAACTCTGAGTGGGACAAAGCTATTCAAAGCCCACTTACTCGCCATCTCTGCTCGAAACACAAGTATCGAGGATCCCTTAAAACAGGTTACGGTTTCAACCGCACCGATACCGCAACCATTCGCGCCCACATCGACTCGTCAACTGCAGCGAAGACGCCACATGAGTGTACGCACTATTCGACATATTTTTCAATGAGAACGCACACCGCGTACACAGGATGTGGCACTGTACGAGGCCGCGAAAGCGGGCAAGCGGGACGAGGTACTCGGTCTTGTGCAAGGTGGCGCCAAAGTGAACGCGCGCATTGGCAAGGTCATTCCACCTATGCACCATTGTAGGAGGTAGCTCATCTTGAAGTGGCTAGGACGAGACCTCGGCGCTGCATATTGCGGCCGCTTACGGCCACGTCACGATCGTCGAAGTGCTTCTCAAGGCAGATGCGAGTCCGATGCAGACCAACTTGGTTGGCAACACATAAACGATACGTGTCGTCACATTGAAGGGTCGTCGGTAGAGGCACGAGACGCCTCGGACAATTGCTCACCAGAATGGACACGCGGCGGTTGTCAAGCTCTTGGACAAGGCAATGGACGCGCTCGTCCAGCTGTTCAAGGCCCTCGTAATGAACGACGCGACTACAGCGCTGCGACTGCTCCAAGAAGGCGTGAATAGCAACGCTCACTACAAGGTACATGCACTCGACTCCGCGGTCGAGTCTTCCCTTTTTCATGGGTTTCGATAGCCGGGCTTGACCCCTCTGCGCATCATCGAGCCCGTGACGGGGCGATACACCTTGTCGAATGCCGATTCGGAGACCAATGAGGAGGTTTACCATGACATGTGTCCGGTTCTAGTGTACAATTTTTGTGCAGGACGGGATCACGCCGCTGCACATTGCAGCAACGAATGGCTCGGCGCCGCTCGTGACGGCACTCTTGGCTCGCCCCATGATCAACATTCACGCACTCGACAACGTACACTACTTGATGCATCTCGTTCTGGTCTACACGATGTTGATATGGACACTTTGTCACTAGACAAAGACGACACCTCTGCACGGCGCGACCAAGAACGGACATGCGCACATCGTTCAGCTGCTTCTCGCGGCCGGTGCGCTCGTCAACGTCTCCAATAGCGTATGTCGAGTCATTGATGCAGTGCGAGTGTGAGATGTAGACACGTCTACATAGACGCAATGGACCCCGCTGCACTTGGCCGCTCGACACGGCAATGTAAGCGCCGTCGAGAAGCTCTTGGCTGCTGGGGCAAAGATTGACGCGCAGAAAAGTGTACGACATTGTCACTATAGTATAGAATATCTCCAAGGTTTGGGACGTAGGACAAGTGGACACCACTGCACTTGGCGGTCTGCAACACGCAAGAGGGTGTTGTGCCGCTGCTGCTCGCGGCCGGCGCCAATGTCAACGCCCGGGATGCGGTACGCAGCTCTATGCCTCCATAGGTTGTTCATCGCTGTATATAGCGTGAGTCGACACCCTTGCACGAGGCGACCAAGAATGACAACCCGACCATTGTTGCGGCTTTGCTCGCCGCTGGCGCCACCGCGACGGCGAGTGACAGCGTGCGCGTCATCTTTGTATCGAATTGTCATGCAATCAAATGTCGACTTGCGTAGAACCTCTGGACGCCACTTCACTTGGCGGCGCGTAAAGGCAACAGTAGCATCATTAAAATGCTCTTGGCTGCCGGGGCAGTTGTGGACGCACAAAAAAAAGTACCTCCTCCTTATGCTCAATGCGCTAGCTACCTTATGGTTGCCGTAGGATCAATGGACGCCATTGCACCTGGCCGTCGGCAACGGCCATGAGAGTGTCGTGTCATTGCTGCTAGCTGCTGGCGCCACCGTGAATGCGCGCAACAGTGTACACACAATGGCAGACTCGCGCGGAATTAACTATAGGAAGCGTAGGAGGGTGAATCACCGCTCTTTCTCGCCGCTCAAGGAGGTCATGCAAGCATTGTCAAGCAGCTTCTGAGGGCAAACGCCAACCCGTCCGTCGGAAACAACGTAGAGCGTAAATGACCACCTCGTTAGACTGTCCTGAATCATAGGATAATACGACACCGCGGATGGCAGCGGGGGCCGCCGGGCACGCAGCTATCGCGGCCGCTCTCGAGGAGGCGGCTGCTGTTAACAAGCCGACCCTTTCGCAAGCCGTCTTCAACAACGATGCGACCCGAGTGACCGAGCTTTTGCGCAATGGCGCGGACCCAAACGCACGGTACGAGGTATGCAAATCACTTCTGCCATTCAAACAAGATCGAAGAACGTATGGGTAGCGCGGTCCTGCGCTGTCCCCGACGTCATCGGCCAAGGCCGGCGTCGGCATCTCGTTTCTGAAGGTCAACGCCAAGGCCCACATCCAAGTCTGTCTCTCACTATATACACTCGCATGCTCATCGCATGAGGTAGGACGACAGCAGCCTTTTGCATGTGGCGGCGGCGCACGGGTCGGAAGCCATTGTCGCACTCCTTCTTGCCAGCTCCGCCATCGAGCTCAACCCACGCGACAGTGTAAGCGATTCAATTCTTCACCACCATCTTTCAAACCCCACCTGCTAGACCGGGGCGACACCTCTGTACGTTGCCGCAGCCAACGGACATGCGTCGGTGGTCCAACAACTTGTCACCGCCAAGGCCGACATCAAGGCTGTGACCAACGTACGGTCTGCTGGGGCTCTACACAATATGACATGTTGGACCTAGACAAAAGACACGTCGCTGCATGTTGCCGTCGTGCATGAGCATCCCCGCGTCGTCGAGCGGCTTCTGGACGCGGGTGCAGCCGTTGACGTTCAGAACAACGTTGCTTTCTCTCGTCGCCTCGTCGAGTCGTCTCTGAACGAGAATGGTGTAGGAACACAAGACACAGTGGCAGGTAGCGCAAGAGCTAGCGCACCCAGCGATTCTCGAGGTGTTTCGGACCAAGAAAGGTCTGTCGCCGCCACCGCCCAAGACAGCGGATCCAGTGGCATCTGCCGCCAACGACCTGTTGCGCGCCATCGAAACAGGCAACGTACAGCAGCTGCAGACGCTACTTGGCGCCAACGCCAACCCCAACGCTATCAAGAGCGATGTACAACCCATGTCGCTACACGAAGGATGCGACGTCATCGGTATTGTAGACGGGCGACAGTCTGCTCCACTTGGCCGTTCAAAGTGGCCAGCATGTCAGTCTGAACCTGCTGCTTGCTCATAGTGCCATTGATGTCTATCGCCGCAACAAGGTAGAAATGTATTCAGTCTGCCCCTTCTTATATCACATCGCGTAGTCCTCGGAGACGGCGCTTCTTCTCGCCATCAAGAGACTTGACTTGTCGATGACGCACAACCTGCACCGCGCGATGCGTCAGCGGCCGCGCTATGTATGCAAATCTGCATTCGTCTGCAAGTTGTACGACAGATTGGTTTCAACTAGGTTGCTTCCGCAGATCTCATCGTCGACCGGCATATTGCGCTCGGCGAAAGCAAAGGCAACATGGTCTACCAAGGCACGTTCGCCGGTTCGACGGTCGCCATCAAAACGGCGCTCTTTCCGTCCCACGCACAGAGTCTCGTGCACGAACTTGAGGCTCTGCTGCGGTTCGTGTCTTCAATCTTCTTACCTACGGACTGCTCCTCATATCGCAATCTAGCTGCGACTCGCCGTACCTCATGCGGCTTTTGGCGGTCGCCGATCAAGACACGCCAGCACCCAAGCTCGTCTTTGAGGTCATGGACGTCGGCAACCTCCGCATGTACCTCGACAAGAAGCGCGAGCATCTCTCGCTTGAGGTCGACTACTCTCTGCTCGATGTTGCGTGGGTCGTGGCCAATGGCCTCGCCGATCTCCATCGCCAAGGTCTGCGCCACCGCGACCTCAAGAGCTCCAACATCCTTCTCTCGACCACCAACTACATCAAAGTCGGTGGTCTCGGACTTGCGTTCTCGGCGTCGACTGCGCCATCGTCACCAACGCGTAATGGTGGCATGCCGTTCTGGACGGCCCCCGAGATGCTCCGGAAAGGCCAGACGCATACGGACAAGGCGGACATTTACTCGTTTGGGATCATTTTGATCGAGTTGGAGACGCTTCAGCTGCCGTACGCGACGCAGGACATTGACGACTGCACGTTTCGAGGCGACGTGCGCGATGGAAAGCTGCAGCCGAGTCTCAGTACCACGTGTGCGCCGTGGCTCCGCGACCTCATTTCTCGCTGCATCGCGTACAACCCGTCGCAGCGTCCATCGGCCCAAGAGATTGTCGATCAGCTGCAGAGTCGAGCCAAAGACTAGCGGGTTCAGCTGGACCTGTCGATGAAAACGAATGCATATCTTGTCTTTCTCTAAATGGCCTTGATCGCTAAAAGGTTTACCTAGGCTATGTTTGCATTTCTTGTTTGTAATCGATGCTTGATATCGCATTGCTAAACTTCTTGTTGATGCCTCCATTTCTGGGACGTTGCAGTTGCTCTGACCGATACGGGCAGACGATCTTCATTAAGGTCATTCAAAAAAGACAAGACATGCATTCGTTTGCATCGACAGGTCCATCTCAACCATACATTACACTTATACAGATACATCCGATCGTTGAAGATTCGATCAGCCCCGATGTAGCGGTGCAGTCTCATATCTTCCCGTCTTCAACGGAGGGCTCTTCTTCGACCTAGCTGCCCGTCTTGTCCGCGCGCTTCTTCTTGGCCCCGTAACGACGTCGCGTTATAGCCGCACACTGGTGCCCACGTCTCAACGTAGCACCCTGGGCACCGTCCTTCTACCGCGGCAGAGAAAGCTCTTGCACATCCTGACGATCTGGAATCGTTGTTGTGGCCGCCGGCCTTTTGGCTGCGGCGCGCGCCTCCGTACGACTCTTGGTCGCTGGTGCGTCTTCATCGTCACCATCATCATCATCGACGACGTTGTCATCACAATTGAGGCAGTCGACATCGTCGGCATCATCTTCATCGCCCGCGTTGAGGACGTCGAGCTCGTAGCTCGGCTTGGGCTCGAACTGGACCTCGTGACCGGGCTTGATGCGCTTGGTGGTCGCGCGCGTCGAGCCCTTGTCCGCTTGCGCTTCGGCCAACGCCTCCTTGACAATGCCGATCGCACTGCGGAACTCGAGAAGCTTGGGGATGGTCACGGCCATGGTGAAGACGTCGGCTTGGTTCTGCGCGCTTGGAACCGCGCGGCTCGACAAGCCGTTCAATTCCACGTACTCGCGACACACCAGGTGGAGTACCATGATGTGCTTGGAGCGCTTGTGCGAGCCTGGACATTGACACTGCGAGATCGAGCCGTGGTTGTCAATGAGCATCGTTGAGCTCGTGTGCAGTAGCGAGCACTCTTCGAGGAGCTGCCCAAGCCACATGACGTCGCGCGCAGCCGTACTGGCCGCGATTGTCTCCGAATGACACGAGCTTGTACCAACGGTGTCTTGCTTGGAGCTCTTGGCCGAGATCGACTGGCCGTAGAGCTTCGTGATGTAGCCCGTGATCAATTTGCAGTCCTTCGTGTCGTTGGCCCAAACGGAATCGGCCCACGACTCGATCGAGAGGCCGTCGTACGTCCTCGCTTCCTCAATGTTGTACACGAGCCCAAAGTCGAGCGTGCCCACGAGGTACCGGACCACGTGCATGGCCATGGCCCAATGCTCGGACGTGTGGCAGTTGAGGTACTTAGACAGCGTGCGCACCGCGTTGCGGAGCTCGAGGCGGGAGCCCGTGATGAGGTACTGCAAGGCACCAACGAGGTTGCGGTACGGGCGCGCCGCCTTGTCGAGCTTCGTCTGCGGCTTTGATGTCGTCAAGTCGCATGACTTCTCGGCACCGGGTGTCTGCGGCACCAACGACGGGTTCTTGTCGATGTTGTCATACTTGGCGATGATCTCTTGAGTAAACCGACGCTGAGAGAACCAGACGGCGGGTACATAGTCGATCTTGACACCGAGGAGGTAGCGAACGTCGCCGAGCTGCGTCCTCTTGAACTTGGCGAGGAGTGCCTTGATCACGGGCGCTGTGTGCTTGTCGTCGCCGACGATGAGCAGCTCGTCGACGTAGACTATAATGAAAACGACATCGCGGTTGCCATTTCCTCCCACCGTTTTCGTGTAGAGACCGCGATCTTTCTCGTTGCGCTTGAAGCCAAGGCTCACAAAGAACTCGTGCAACATCGAGTTCCACTCGTGAGGTGCTTGGCGCAGACCGTAGATCGTCTTGATGAGCAGGCACACGAGGCGCTAAACGTGCTCTGCAAAGCCTTCCGGCTGCTCCCTGTAGACGAGTTGACTCTTCTTGAGCGCAGCGTTAGAAACGCCGTGACAAAGTAGTTTCGACGCAGTTTCCGTCCACGCAAGGTCGCGTAGGGCAGAATGGCGCGCAAGGTCTCGAAGTAAATGACCGGCGTGTACGTCTCGTCGTAGTTGAGTCCAAAGATGTGCTCAAAGCCCTTGGGCACGAGGCGTTGCCGTCCGATTGACCTTGAGCTTGAAGAGCCATCGGAATGGAGCACCTTCTCGCCGACCGGGCGCTGAACCAAGCGCCACATCCGGTCGGTCACGTGCGACTTGTACTCCTCGACCATCGCTTGACGCCACTTGTCGGCCTCAGGCGACGCGATGGCTTCCTTGTACGACTGCGGCACGTCAAACGCCTTCTCAATATCGTCAGTGAGACGCACGAAGCGAGTGGGAGCGCGACGCGTGTCATCCGAGCGCTGTGGGCGCGTGTTCTTGTGCGGGCGCTTGAACGACGACACCGGAAACCACAACCTTGGGGTGCTTGCTACCGCGACGACGGCGCTTGCGTCCTCCCACAGCTTCTGGATCGGGTTCGTCTTCGGCGCCAGTAGCGTCGTCTGCGGGAGGGTCATCGCCTCCCACAGCATCGGACGCTGGCGTAGCCTCCCCGTCATCCGTGCGCACAATACGACGGCGGTCACCAGTTGCCATCGTAGCAGCACGGGCGTTGTCCAACGAAGGACTAACATCGACGACCGTGTCATCACTGCGCGTGCTCGTCGGATCAGCGACGGGTCGAGCCGGGTTGACCAACGGGACGTACGCTTCCGGCATCTCCATGACCGGTAGCGTACAAAATGGAACCAAATACGAGATACCACGAACGCTGGGATCGGCGGCGCGTTGCAGCACCTTCTTGACGTAGGCACCCTCGACCGTTTGATCCTCGTAGACGCGCACGTTGTCGTAGCGCGCGTACTCAACTTCAATAGCAGCCTGCTATTGAAGTTGAGGAGAGGTAGCCGCAGGTGCCCTTGCCGTAGCCGAGAAAGATGCACAGCTCACCAGGCGATCCTCGAGGTGCGACGGTGTTACCTCAGGGGGCGCGAGGCCCGCATTACCGCTGCACCTCGGGTGAGGCGTGGCGGGTTGCTTAGCGGAGATCGAAAACTAGAATGCTAGGCTCTTCCGACCAGTCGTTGGTTTCGCTGAGCCGCCTTCTCTTGAAAAGACCGTTTCGACTCCTTGCAGGCGCGAAACACCCATCGTGTGGTCCGCGACGATATGGGCGTCCGTGAAGCGCTTGGCGATGTGCGGCTTACATAGTCGTCGCTAGAAACAAGACAAGGCGCTCTTCAAGGCCGCGAGAGACGGTGCCGTCGACGAGGTCCGTCGATTGATCGAAGAAGGGGCTTGTGTCGACTCAAAGCATGGCAGTGTACGCAGTACATCTAGCGTGTGTTGGGTGTAATCAAGCATCGTAGAGCGACGAGACATCGTTGTTTGTGGCTGCGGCCAACGGACACGCGAGCGTCGTCCAAGTGCTCATCGAAGCTGGAGGGGATCCCTGTAGTGTTCAGGCACGATCTTGCCTTCTCAACATATCCAACATCTGCGTGTTGCTGAGACTGCCCATAAGACTCCGTGATGTAGCAGAGAAAAATGGCCATGTCTCGGTGGTTGCGATGCTGGACAAGATGCATGGCGCGATCGCGGAGCTCTTTACAGCGCTCGTCAAGTCCGACGAGGCAACGGTCTTGCGTCTTCTCGTCGAGAACGTCCCCGCGTACATCACATACTGGGTATGCTTGCATATATATATTGGCAACGACCCACCACCGTCGTTTGTATGCTGTGTAGAAGGGCCGTTTCGAAGACGCCCTTCAGATTGCTTTTGCGGAGACGGGAAATTTTGTATTCACGCAAGGCAAGTGCACGGTAGGGACACATTCTCTACTTTGCCACGTCATAGACATATCTGACGATGCTATACAGGGCCACATACGGCCACTCCATATTGCAGCAGCCCATGGGTGCGAAGAGGTCGTGGCGGCGCTGCTCAAGCGTCCACACACCCCGATCAACATAACGTGCGAGGGATCTAGCTCTGTACGATCACGATGTATTTGACACTAAACGCTTGTGGAAACTAACTTCTAGAACCCCGCCTACCTGACGGCGCTTCAATTCGCTGCCCAGAATGGCCACACTAGGGTCGCTGAACTGCTTTTGGCAGCAAACGCCCATGTCGATTGTATAGGCTATGTGCGTCACTCAACTTGCGTCCTTCTATCTCATTGACGCATGTAGAATGCAAAAACAGCCTTGCACTTTGCCGCCACGAACGGTCACGCTAGTGTCGTCACGTTGCTTTTGGCCCACCGCGCCACCGTCAACGCTTTGGACAAGGTACAGCATACACCTACTAGAGCCTGTTGTATTGCGCAACAATGATCCAATCATATTGTAGGACGACGCTACGCCGCTCTTTATGGCCGCCAGAGGTGGTCATGTCAACGTCGTGGAGCTTCTCCTCGCGGCCAAAGCCGACCCGACCCTGGCCAATTCCGTACGCAAGCTTTAGAGGCAATCCAGCCACAAAAGGTCGTTGATTTGTAGGACGATGAGACACCCCGGTCCGTTGCCGAAGCGGGTGGCCACACAGCCGTCGTTGCAGCCCTCGACAAGATCCTGCCACCGCCATTAACACCAGCAAAGCCGACTATGACGGTACAAAGAGACTGCATGCTACCGTACACGATTGTCGCGCTAGGATATCATTTCACAAGCCGTCTTCAACAACGATGCAACGCGAGTGACCGAGCTCTTGCGCGCTGGCGCAGACCCAAACGCACGATACGAGGTATGCAGCACACAACTGCAATTCAAACGAGATCGAATAACGTATGGGCAGCGCGGCCCTGCGCTGTCCCCGACGTCATCGGCCAAGGCCGGCGTCGGCATCTCGTTTCTGAAGGCCAACGCCAAGGCCCACATCCAAGTCTGTCTCTCACTATATACGCTCGCATGCTCATCGCATGAGGTAGGACGACAGCAGCCTTTTGCATGTGGCGGCGGCGCACGGGTCGGAAGCCATTGTCGCACTCCTTCTTGCCAGCTCCGCCATCGAGCTCAACCCACGCGACAGTGTACAGCGATTCAATTCTTCACCACCATCTTTCAAACCCCACCTACTAGACCGGGGCGACACCTATGTACGTTGCCGCAGCCAACGGACATGCGTCGGTGGTCCAACAACTTGTCACCGCCAAGGCTGATGTCAGGGCAGTGACCAACGTACGAACATTCAACGTGCTACGCAATATGACACGTTCAACCTAGACAAAAGACACGTCGCTGCATGTTGCCGTCGTGCATGAGCATCCCCGCGTCGTCGAGCGGCTTCTCGACGCGGGTGCAGACGTTGACGTTCAGAACAACGTTGCTTTCTCTCGTCGCCTCGTCGAGTCGTCTCTGAACGAGAATGGTGTAGGAGCACAAGACACCGTGGCAGCTAGCGCAAGAGCTCACGCACCCAGCGATCCTCGAGGTGTTTCGGACCAAGAAAGGTCTGTCGCCGCCACCGCCCAAGACAGCGGATCCAGTGGCATCAGCCGCCAACGACCTGTTGCGCGCCATCGAAACAGGCAACGTACAGCAGCTGCAGATGCTACTTGGGGCCAACGCCAACCCCAACGCTATCAAGAGCGATGTACAACCCATGTCGCTACACGAAGGATGCGACGTCATCGGTATTGTAGACGGGCGATAGTCTGCTCCACTTGGCCGCTAAAATCAGCCATCTCGGTATTCTCGATATTCTGCTCCAAGCACCCCACATCAACCTGCAAATGCGCAACAAGGTACTGCTCGGATCTGGCAATTCCTCAGGCCACGCATTGGTTGTAGAATATGGAGACAGCACTCTTGGTCGTGATCAAGCAGCGGGACTTGCACAAAACGCAGATGCTCCACAACGCAATGCGTGTCATGCCCCATTTTGTACTTGACGACGCTATCAAGAAACGGAGCGCGTCAATCATGGCATTGTGTAGGTTCCAGCAGACACGATGGCTATTGACCGGCACATTGCGCTCGGCGAAAGCAAAGGCAACATGGTCTACCAAGGCACGTTCGCGGGTTCGACGGTCGCCATCAAAACGGCACTCTTTCCGTCCCACGCACAGAGTCTCGTGCACGAAATCCAAGCTCTGCTGCGGTTCGTGTATTCCATTCTCTTGCCTACGGACTGCTCCTCATATCGCAATCTAGCTGCGACTCGCCGTACCTCATGCGGCTTTTGGCGGTCGCCGACCAAGACACGCCAGCGCCCAAGCTCGTCTTTGAGGTCATGGACGTCGGCAACCTCCGCATGTACCTCGACAAGAAGCGCGAGCATCTCTCGCTTGAGGTCGACTACTCTCTGCTCGATGTTGCGTGGGTCGTGGCCAATGGCCTCGCCGATCTCCATCGCCAAGGTCTGCGCCACCGCGACCTCAAGAGCTCCAACATCCTTCTCTCGACCACCAACTACATCAAAGTCGGTGGTCTCGGACTTGCGTTCACGGCGTCGACTGCGCCATCGTCACCGACGCGTAATGGTGGCATGCCGTTCTGGACGGCCCCCGAGATACTTCGGAAAGGCCAAATCTACTCTGACAAGGCCGACATTTACTCGTTTGGGATCATTTTGATCGAGTTGGAGACGCTGCAGCTGCCGTACGCGACGCAGGACATTGACGACTGCACCTTTCGAGGCGACGTGCGCGACGGAAAGCTGCAGCCGAGTCTCAGTACCACGTGTGCGCCGTGGCTCCGCGACCTCGTCTCTCGCTGCATCGCGTACAACCCGTCGCAGCGTCCATCGGCCCAAGAGATTGTCGATCAGCTCCAGAGTCGAGCCAAAGACTAGCGGGTTGAGCTGGACCTGTTGATGAAAACGAATGTAGATGTTATCTTTTTTAAATGTGCCGAGGGACCGTCCACTGGTAAGAGCAATGCAATGCCTCGCGAGCAGAAATGGAGGCATGCGACATGTCTTGAAATTGTAGAGTATTGTAGATTACTTTTGGCGCCTAGCGAGTTTGAATGGGTCGTGGACAGGTGAATCCTCTGCGACCCTAAACCTTGCAAGTACATCACTGTAGTGGTAATGGTACATGACCTTCTTGAGAGGACGCACATGCGCCCAGTCTCGTTTCCTTTCTCTCTCAGCAAAATTGCGCAACCTCGACGACAAACTAGCGTTTTCTGGTCCCCCATTCGAGTTCTCTTGTTTCTTGATCCCTGTGCACGCTCCTTTCACACAGAACCGACATGCGATTCGACGACCAAAACCGTTGGTAAACGTTACTGTTCCTTGCTATAACAAAGATTCCGACACCTGCGTACCCGCGATGGAACTCTTTGAAGCAGCCAAAGGCGGTGATGTGGACGCCGTCTGCCGTCATATTGAAGCGGGCGCGGACATCGACTACCAGCACGTCGACGTACGTACATGGCGCCTGCCACGTACGCAGGTGCACGTCAGCATAGACGAAGATGACGCCACTCTTTGTCGCGGCGATGAAAGGCCACGTCCGCGTCGTGCAAGCACTTCTCCGCGCCATGGCGAACCCCTTCCTAACGGACGCGGTACAGTCTACGGTGCTCGGAACGCTCCGAGGAGACCACGGCTTGTAGCGAGGCTACGCGCCGATTCAACTTGCTCGTCTGAGTGGCAAAGTGGACGTTGCTGCATTGCTCGAAAGCGCCATCGATGCGGTCTTCCACCTCTACGAGGCACTCGTCCAGAACGACGAGGCGACGGTCTTGCGTCTTGTCCGAGAACGTGTTCCACTGCACATTGGATACTCGGTGGGCTGCAGACGTACCGTATGCAAGCTCACTCGACGTGTCTAGGAGTCTCACTTTCAGTCCACGCGCCCCCTCCACCTGCACCTTGGTGCGGCGGGACGATATGAGTTGGATTCGACCAACGGCACGGCCTCGGTACGTCTTGGTTTGCTTGATTGATGTCTCCATTCGCTGCGACAACACAGAGAGGCACACTGCCACTGCACATCGCGGCCGCCAATGGGTCCATCGTCCTCGTGACCGCACTCCTTGCATGTCCACGGCCCAACGTGAATGCTTGGAGCAGCATCAATACCAAGGTAGTCCATGGCTCCTTTGAGGATCCCTCGAATGAGCTACGGGTAGGCGCCCAATCGGGTCACCGCACTGCACTTGGCCGCATGGAATGGCCACGTCACTATTGCTCAGCTGCTCTTGGCAGCCAACGCCACCGTCGACATCTCGGACATTGTGTGTCGCGCGGTATTTGATCGGCTTTTCATGTACTTCGATAGCTGGGACGGACGCCTTTGCACTGGGCAGCTCTGCATGGCCACGTCGCTGTCGTCGCAGTCCTTGTGTCTGCCAGTGCCAGCGTCGACAAGCCAGACGAGGCATGCCCTTCTTCTTTTGGCGCCCACAGAACACACCCATAAGTAGGACGGCGCGACACCTCTGTTTATGGCCGCACAAGGCGGCCATCTCAAGGTCGTGCGATGTCTCCTGTCGGCCAAGGCTGACCGAACCAAAGCCACCGTGGTACGTTATGAACGACAAAGACAGCAATTTCGCACGTGTGGCGCTGGGTGCTAGAACAAGCAAACGCCACGGTCCGTCGCCGAGGCGCGAGGGTATGTATCGGTTGTTGCTTTACTTGATGAAGCCGCGCAACCGTCAATGCCTCCAGTCGATGATGCGTCGCTTGAAGAAGACAAGCAATTGCTCGCGCTGGGCATCCGACGCCATCCCCGGTCGCCACGGGCCGGCACCAATGTGCGAGAGCATGCATCAGATGTCGCTGTACTCGATGAGGCCGCGCAACTGACAGCGCTTCCCGCCGATGATGTGCCTCTCGACGAGGACAAGCAATTGCTCGTGCTGGGCATCCGACGCCATCCCCGGTCACCACGGGCCGGCACTAAGGTGCGAGAGCATGCATCAGTTGTCGCTGTACTCGATGAGGCCGCGCAACCGTCAACGCCTTCCGCCGATGATGCGCCGCTTGAAGAGGACAAGCAATTGCTCGCGCTGGGCATCCGACGCCATCCCCGGTCGCCACAGGCCGGCGCAGAAAGCGTACGAGAGCCTGCGACACAAATCGTGGCTGCCCCGCACAGCTCTGTCGACTTGCAAGTGCGACTTTTCCAAGCGCTCGTCAACGACGACGTACCGACGACGCGGGAACTCCTCGCCGATAACGTTCCGGGACACATCACGTACTGGGTATGGTACCATAAGATTCGAGTTGGACGCACGACGAACGTTGTTCGTAGCCGCATGAGCTACCGCTGACCCTCTCTCTCACGGAACATGGGAAATATGTGCTGGCCGGGGGTGCCGACGCAGTAAGTGGATATACTACTTGAGAGGTCTCACGCTTTGCGCCTAGAGTGGTATCACAGCGCTGCACATTCCGGCCGCGCACGGAAACGGCGTGCTCGTGGCCGCCTTGCTTGCTTGCCGAGACATTCGGGTCGACTGGTTTGGCGTTGTAGGACGCCCTGGTTCATGAGGCTGTTCCATCGGACGTGTTTGTATTAGGAAGGAACGATGGCCCTGCACATGGCCGCCCGGAATGGACACGCCGAAATCGTCAAGCAGCTATTGACGGTACGCGCTCAAGTGGACTACAGTGACTGCGTACGGACGGCTGTTTTGGACACTGTTGGACGACGGATGCTCCATATGGTATAGCACGGATGGACGCCGTTGCATTGGGCTGCCATGAACGGTCATGCACCTGTCGTTGCCTTGCTCGTGGCGGCCCGCGCTCTCGTGAACAAGCAAGACGAGGCACGTAGCGTCATCAACTTTAGCTCAAATGACGTCTCGTGCTAGACTAAGGCGACGCCACTCTTCCTCGCAGCAAAAGCAGGCCATGCTAGCGTGGTGCGCCAGCTTGTAGACGCAAAAGCAGAGACGCATTTGGCAAACGCGGTAGGCTATCCCTTGGTATCGCTCTCGCACACCCCTGGTGTAGAGCAACGAGACGCCGCGGTCCATTGCCAACGCGCGTGGCCACGTCGCTATCGTGGCGCTGCTAGATAAAGCTTCGCCACCCGGTGCCATGGATGCTACGACGGTTTGGGGCCGGCCACAGACTTGCAAAAACCGGAACCGCTTGCTAGGTTGCAATGTCTGACGCCGTGCAGAGTGGCAATGTGGCCCGAGTCGCGGAGCTTTTGCGCAGTGGAGGTGACCCTAACGCACGCTACGAGGTACGCTGTCTTGGCCTATCACGAAAGGATCGGTTTGTGAATTGGGTTGGACTAGCGCGGCCCAGCTCTTTCTCCAAGAGCGCCGTCCAAAGCCAGCGTCGGCCTTCCGTTCTTTTGGCTAACGTCAAGGCCCATATCAATGTAGATACCCACGACGGCGCAACCATCTTATATTGTGCATTTCTCGCGTAGGACGGCAGCACGCTTTTGCATGTGGCGGCGGCCACGGCTTGGAGGCCATAGTCGCGCTGCTTGTCGCAAGTCCCAACACCCACGTCGACGCTGTCGACAGTGTAGGACGACGATCTGCCTCGACGCACCTTAGCGCTTTGCTATCATGGTATTGATTGTAGACGGGTGCAACACCACTGTACGTCGCCGCAGCCCAAGGACATGTTATGGTGGTCCATGAGCTCTTAAACGCCAAAGCCAGTGTCACGATAGCAACGCTGGTGTGTGTGTTCTTTCATGCAACATGGAAGAGTCCGATCGTGGCTAGTCGAACGCAACGCCTCTGCACGCAGCAGTGACCAATGGTCATTTCCGCGTCGTCGAGCTGCTTCTGGACGCCGGTGCCATCATCACCATCGAGAACGCTGTTGTGTCATTGTTTCCCTCGATTGGATCGTCACACTCCAAATGCGTAGGTGACCACTATGCTCTGGGAGCTTGCCGATGAAGCCGTCTTGGATGTGTTTCGCATCAAGGGGAGGGTTTTCTCGCCACCCCCTACAGTCACCACGAATACGTGTGTTGATGCATCCAGCGACCTTCTGCAAGCGGTACAAGACGGCAATGTGCAGCAATTGCAGATGTTACTTGGCTCCAACCCTTGCCCCAATGCAATTCAAAACGATGTAAGCGCCGCCAACGACAAGAACGCTAGGTGGTGAAAGCTCATTTTAGACCATGGACAATTTGCTGCACGTGGCGGCGAAAGGCCACCACATTGGTGTTCTCGATGTCTTATTGCTTCAAGCACCCACCCTCCGCCACCATCGACGCAACAAGGTTCCACTTGTATCAACTTGAAACATGTGGAACGAGGGATACGCGATAGAGCTTGGCGACTGCGCTGCACATTGCCATCAAGCACCGAAATCAGCACACAACCCAGGTGCTTCATTACGCGATGCGTTGGACCACACGATACGTAATCGACACCGTCGAATTGGTCAAAACGCTGTCAAAACGATCCTTCGTAGGTCCAAGCAAGGGATATCGACATCAACCGCGAAGTCGCGCATGGCAACGGCAAGGGCAGCATTGTCTACAAGGGCACGTACAAGGACAAGGCTGTCGCGGTTAAAACGGTACTTCTCCCGTCCCAAGCGCAAAGCCTCGTCAGCGAAATCCAAGCACTCCTACGGTTCGCATCCACTCCCTCTTTACGCTACCTACCCAACGTCTCTAACATCGTTGTGGTGATACTTTAGCTGCGACTCGCCGTACCTCATGCGGCTTTTGGCGGTCGCCGACCAAGATACGCCAGCGCCCAAGCTCGTCTTTGAGGTCATGGACGTCGGCAACCTCCGCATGTACCTCGACAAGAAGCGCGAGCATCTCTCGCTTCAGGTCGACTACTCTCTGCTTGACGTTGCGTGGGTCGTGGCGAATGGCCTCGCCGATCTCCATCGTCAAGGTCTGCGCCACCGCGACCTCAAGAGCTCCAACATCCTTCTCTCGACCACCAACTACATCAAAGTCGGTGGTCTCGGACTTGCGTTCACGGCGTCGACTGCGCCATCGTCACCGACGCGTAATGGTGGCATGCCGTTCTGGACGGCCCCCGAGATGCTTCGGAAAGGCCAAATCTACTCTGACAAGGCGGACGATTTACTCGTTTGGGATCATTTTGATCGAGTTGGAGACGCTGCAGCTGCCGTACGCGACGCAGGACATTGACGACTGCACGTTTCGAGGCGACGTGCGCGACGGAAAGCTGCAGCCGAGTCTCAGTACCACGTGTGCGCCGTGGCTCCGTGACCTCATTTCTCGCTGCATCGCGTACAACCCGTCGCAGCGTCCATCGGCCCAGGAGATTGTCGATGTGCTACGCGACAAAACCGAGTAGGGTTCCATACACAGAGCTTGTATCCTTGCAAGAAAATGCATTTTCGACGTAACAGACACCATCAAAACGCCGGGCAAAATACCGCTACGGTGAGCTACAGCGCCTGCGGACATTTCCTTGCGACCCTATATCCTTCATCGTGTCTTCGCCATGCTCACGAATAGACAAACCTGCCTCCATCTGCGAGCGCCATTTATGTGTTGGGCAGCATATGCTTAGCTTTGAGATGGAAGATGGCCATCCACATACGTCGAAAATGCATTTCTGCAAGGATACAAGCTCTGTGTATGGAACCC